CATGGCATTCTGAGTGAAAATCTGGATAATTGTTACTCCATGCAAAATCCTGCACTCTGTCTCCCTTCTGGGCAAGTATATGATGCATGTATTGAGTGCTTATGTCCTCTACGCTGACTAAGTTGCTGCTTATGTCTCTCTGGTCGTTGTTGGTGCAGAGCAAATAAAACCAACTAGATTCTGTGATCCTCTTTATCACTGGCTGGTGTGTACCCAAACGTTGCGGAACATCAGTTCTTTTCTTTATGCTACAGAGTTTGTACTCTTACAGGTGTAACCCCCGCCCGACCTCCCATTCCTGTCACTATTCCACAAGTGGGAGTTGTGAATCCTATCCTGGCTAGTCCCCCAGCATTGGGCCTGATGGAGGTCAAAAAGGAGAAGGAAGAAGAGGAGGTATTCCAGGAGTCAGAGAGGCCGGAGATGCTGAGTGAACAGGAACACATGAGCATATCTGGCAGTAGTGCCCGTCATATGGTGATGCAGAAATTGCTTCGTAAACAGGAGGTGAGTGCAGTGTGACTGCCCTGAGCTGGTTCCAGTTGTCAGCAAATGAGACTGCTAGGTTTAGATCTGTCTTATTGTGGTGTAGCTATGCACTTCTGTATGTGGTACAGGCTTCCTGCAGCATATGTTGTAGGTACCCACAGGGCTCATGCGGGACTACAAAGGCTCCCTGCTTATGCGCTGCTTGTGATGGTTCTTATTCTGCCTTTAGGATCTTCGAGTTTCTCTGAGGGTTCAGACCAGTCACTAGGCCACAAGAGGCTTGGCTAGGACGTGTCTCTGATTAAACTGTGTTTACTTAGGATCATTAAAGCAAACCATGACAGCTTTTCGGCTTATAATTAAAGAAGTGAGTGGCACGTGGTCAGGGGCAACCTATTCCAAGCTATTGAGTCCACCATTTCCCCACAACCTGTTACTGTAGGATGAGGTGTTTGTAAAACAAAACTTCACAGAAGTTACAATGAGGAAGAGGACAAGAATGAATGATAGAAAAAGTCAGAACGTTAAACAGAATGATAGATTCGTAGATGGGGGGGAGGGGGGGATGTCTTGAAAGGGGCTGCATTGATAATCTCATCAGGTTTCTTGTTTGGGCATGACCAGGGGTTTGTTCCTGTGCATGATTGAGTTTCCTATCTGACACGCAGATTTCCTGAGCTTTGGCACTGAACTGACAATGTTTCTTCTTTGTTTGCTAAATAGGGATAATGCTGACATGCATTTCGTAAGGGAGGATACAAATGAGTTAGCTAGTGAGTGTTCTCTTTTACCTTCAAAGGGTACATAATTTTAAATACATCTTTGAGCTTGTGACTTAGCAGCCAGTTTTCCTCTGTCACAAGTACCTTTCCCAAAGAATCCAATTCATTTGGCATACTTGCTTGAAAAAAGTTTAGCAGTGTCAAAAGAGAGTCTTAAACTACACCATTCTCAAAGCTGCTTGGCATTCTCAGCCTCTAAGTACCCTTCTGGTTTTCTGTCCTTTTAGTAGGCCCTTAAAGGAAGTTATACAGACATGTGAATAAGAACTGGAACAAGTATTTTAAAATTATACTGAGCCTGAAATGCCATGTCTGCTAGCCTATGGTGCTGGGTAGGGCCAGAGCTGGGAGGAAGGGATGTGGTAGAGCTGAGTGTAATGCACAAAACCAGAGGCTGCCCAGAAAGGTGGTGGAGTCTCTATCTTTGGAGACATTCAGAAGTCATCTAGTCATGGTCCTGGGCAACTCTGGGTGGCCCTGCTTGAGCAGGGGAGCTTGGACCAGGCGATCTCCAGAGGTCCCTTCCAACCTCAACCATTCTGTAATACAGAGAGGTGCTCAGTCACAACAGGGCTTGATGGAGGGATGCATATGAGAGGTATGTTGCAGGCATTCTGACGGACTCATGTGGTTATCCCCTGTAATGAAAATACCTGGTCAACCATCAGTTGTCAGAAGTATGAAAGACCTGGTTAATCCTTGTACTTTATTTAGAGATGAGGAAAAATTTTCAAAAAAACACACAATGGTGGTGTTGAAGATAAGAAAGCAAAAAATAACTGGATATGAACAGCACAAGAAAAATTATAGAGGTCTCTAGGTCACTTGTGCTTCAAAGATGTGTCTAAGAAAAGCCCAAGACGTGGCACACGGCTTTCCTGACTGAGGCCAGCCACAGCACAGCTGTCAGTGAATGAGATTTGTTCATGCTTCTGATATCTGGGAAGAAAATTTACTAACTTATCCCTGAGAACTTGGGACATTATTGGTTTCATGGAATATCCTTGTAATGACATAGCACTGGAATATCTGGTGGTGCTCAGGCATGTTGCATAGTCTGATGTGGCCTTGCAAATTTAATCTCAGTGTCTCTTAAGTGTATTAATTCATTTGTCCTGACCTTCTCTCCGCAGTCCACTGTGATGGTGCTTCGCAACATGGTGGATCCAAAGGACATTGATGATGACCTAGAGGGAGAAGTGACAGAAGAATGTGGCAAATTTGGGGCTGTAAACAGGGTCATAATCTACCAGGAGAAGCAAGGAGAAGAGGAGGATGCCGAGATCATTGTCAAGATCTTTGTGGAGTTCTCCATGGCGTCAGAGACTCACAAAGCCATTCAGGCTCTAAATGGGCGCTGGTTTGCAGGAAGAAAGGTGGTAGCAGAGGTGTATGACCAGGAGAGATTTGATAACAGTGACCTGTCAGCATGAACTCTACTTGAAAGACTTTGCCCCTGCCCCCTCTGCCTGTCTGGGTTTTTTTTTTTTTAGCCATGTGTAAAGAACGCTCCAGGTTGGGCACAGATCTCTGTGATGTACTTGTAGTTTGCATAAAAGCGCAAAGAAAGCTAGTGTGCATCTGTGTGTGTGTTAAAGGGGCTGACATCTTGTCAGCCGGGTCTGGCCTCACCCACCTAGAAGACCGGGGCCAGAGCCTGAAGAGGGGTTGCTCCTTGTGCTCCTGCCTTACACTGTGGTCACTTCAGAAACGCTCAGGTCAAGATCCCACTGCACCTTTTAGGGGCTGGAATAGCAGTTTTCTTCAGAGATGGGCCGTAAAGGGTTGGAATGGAGGAGGGAGTCTCTGCATAAAGTATTTCAGCAGCACCCCTGAGTGCTGCCGTATTAACAAGGAGGGTAGCTTGGGTGGTGCTGGGAGGGAGC